TTCAAATTTCTATGCAAATAATAAAGTGATAGAGTTTTTTTGTGACAATTTGTATCATGAAGTCTTTTTCATGATTGCTTGAATTGATTTGAATTAAATATTTCTTAATCAGAGTGTTTGTAAACAAAACATCATACATTTTGAAACAAAGCAAGCAATAATTTGCGTAATATATTACTTTTCATGCTTTCTCATTTTTCCATGTAAAACTTCAAAAATTATGTCACACAATATTGAATTATTGACACTATTTATCCAGGTCCCGCGTGACTGAATTGGTTCGACAGGAATTATAATTTGGTCACCAATATAATGACACATTTAAAGTTGGTGGTTTCCCAAACTGCCAAAACTACAAGTCACTTTCTCATAAATATTTAAATACTTTTGTCTACGTTATTGAATCAATCACGGGAATGCTCACATTGATGTCAACATAGTTGTTGGCAAGTAAACTCTAGAAGAAAAACTCAGATGTGTAATAAAAATGATAATATGAATTATGAGAATTCATAACTTAATATTCACAAAGATGTTCTACCATTTACAGTCCAACCAAAAAAAAAAGAGAAACTGAGTTTTACAACTACAAAACAACATTTAGTGTAATTTTACAATTACCAAGTCTAAGCTTTTCCACTGTTCAATTCTCATAAAGAGAAATTTGGAATACCAAATGATTTTTTTTCTAACTATCATTGATACATAATCAAGCTCATATGCATCAGATGATCTGCTTTGAGGCTGAAGGTGTGGGGGGTTTCTTCACAAGGGACTGTGCACAAGTATATTCTGATACAAATTTCGGTGGTTGTATCTCTGATGGATCTAAAACTGGAATAGCCTTGTCTATATCCTCTGCAGAGAAAGGAATGCTGCAAACACGAAAACGATATGTTAATCTATATAATGTAGACAACCTAAACGCGTGTAAGCGTGTGTTACTACCATATTGTTATACATAGGTAGAACTACACTAGAGAGTCGAATAACTTAGTAATAATTCATTTAATTAGAGAGACCGGAAAACGGAAGAGAATAATACCTCATATCATCATCCAGCAAGAACGAATTGGATGTTAGTTTTTGGTTATCCATGTCCAGAAGTATCCTCATTTGAGAAACCACCTACAGCACAAAGATGTGGAAAAGGTGTATCACTAGACATTCAAACCCAAATTAAATGCCCATGACTGAGAGTTTTTAGACATTTACTTACGTCACTCGAGACGCTTTGAGTTCCAAATTTATCGTCCCAGTACATCGTACTTATTCGATATATTTGCCTTATTGTCAATGCCTATAACAGAACAGCAGAGTTTTCGTGAGATTTCAAAAATGCCTGACGGCCAGGAATCAAAAGGGAAAAAAGGGTAGCCAAACAAAATATCAACATACCGGACATAGATCCTGCCTGATTTCATCCAATGATTTTTTTCTTTTCTGGTGTATAACCTAAAAGATGAAATTAAAATTTGGATATAAAACAAACCAATTAAAATCAAGTTCCACTACAAAAAGAAATAAAAATTTTGATATCAGAGAAAGAAGATGAGTGTTACCAAGAATCCAACAGCTTGCCTAATGTAATTTAACTCGTGCCAAGATGTTCCTGAAAACTGCATTCACAAAATTTTAGACCACAGATAACATCTATCTATGAAGCAAATAGCGCGTATGAACCATGGTGTACCTCCTCCTTTGCACTGGCTATCCACTTCTCCAATTCTGCAATCCCAGTTTTCACATATTCCCCATTTGAAAATGTGCAACATTCACGTCGAAGGAGAAGGCTGAAGAAGAATTCGGTTTAAATATGTAGGAAACAAAAAAAGTAATCTGCTGTATGCGATACAACAAAAAAAACTGAAATTAAAATCTCGTCTACCTGTTGAAAAGTGATAGGTTGATAAATGAGAAAACCTGAGTCACAAGTTTGCGAATGAAGAATGAGGGTACCTACCAATACAATAGTCAAGTTAGAAAAAAGAAAGAAAGACAACGTAGATACTCTTAAAGCACAAGGAACCATGATACATAAGCATTCTAATTCCTAATCCTCGTTTGTGGAGAAACGAGAAAATAACAAAGTAATTACTATGTCTAAGACAATAAGTTTAGAGCAACACAATCTACATAAACTTGGAAGAGTAAAAGTTTCTCCATGGCAAAAAAAAAACTTCATATGAAGTAGCGCCAGTATAAGCAGATATTATAATTGAAAACTATGGGATGTGCATACATGATTTTCGCGTAGGCGGGACATAAGAGAATCCAAGAATTTGAGTATACTATCCCACTGACTCCTCGGTGATTGCTGCGGTACAGCACCTGGTGATCTAGAGGATCTTCCAGCAGTCCCTCGTGAAGCTTTGGGTGCCTAGAGAATTATCAAAGAAACACTATAAACAATCATAATATTCCACAAAACTTTTCTGTCTTTTGAAACTAAAGAGAAGGAGTCTCTTCCACGGGTCAGTAGAGCACAAAATTTATAACGCTAACATCACCAAATCGTTATTTTTGAGGAATTAAAGGTACCAACAATCAGATTTTATGGCACATAAAAAACATAATGCTGTATATATAACTTAATACTATGTACTATCAAATAACGAAACAGTAATTTCTCAATTTTATTTTCCCACCAGCTCAGGAAAACCATAAACCTCAACTACAATTAAGTATACACGAGAAATACCAAATGGCTGAACATCTACCTACTTTCGAATTCTTACCTGAATGCATGATCCCAGAAGCGGTGATAATTCTTTCTTCAAATTATCACGAATTAGACCATAAATCTTCTCCACACATGCTGTCAGCTGCTGTTTAAATAATAGTGCTGGATACCTTGCTTCTATATGTGAAGCACCATCGTCAGGTCCATGAAGTTTAAAAGGGGACTTTACTCCCTGGTATGCAAGAAATAGAATATCAGTTTACACAGAATATTTAAAACAAGATTATATGCTGCTACTGAATCTCAATAAACAATAGACAGTGGGAGTTTTAGTCTACCAATTTCGCAATTTTAGTTCCACAGAAAGGAAACATGTAAACTAGTTTCAAGTGGAGATATCAATTGAACTCACATATGTAGCCCTCCCAGAACGCAGAGCACTAGCATTCAGAAAACTATTTGACCGCAGATTTCTCTGCAAGAGGCATAGAAGCGCTGATGTGTTTGAGAGCCAATATGGTAATACACTGTTCTCATCTCCATCCTGAAATTAGTATATAAAACACATAAGAAAATCATTACATAATAGAGCTCCTATCAAAATTTTAAGGTAAAACAAGTTCGAAGAAAGTTGTGTCAAGATCCCTTCAACAAAAGGAAGATCGAGAGGGTAAATGATTACACAAGAATCACCTTAAGGGCTCCATTGATTCCCTCGATAATGATGTTAAATATGGCTGTGCTCTCAGACTCAAAGGTATGCCAGTGCAGAAGACATTTGTAGATGACACAAGCAGCCAGCGGCTTATCATCAACGAATCCCAAATTTTCCTTTATACATCTGGAGAGCAATTCAGAGTTCTCCTGCAATATAGTGGTAACTTATGTCAAAATTCAATATCTACATGATATCAAAGCAAAACAGAATATGAATATGAGATAATACAAACATAATAATTCGACATGTTACTATCAGCTCAGAACAAAAAAAAAATTATTCCTTTACAGTCGAACAAATTGACAGCCTAATGAAAATGGCAGTTCATTTGTACCAGATTTCTTTCTGCAGCGAATTTGGATCGACGTGACTCTGACAGGCTATGTGAAAATGGCATGATGAGCTTTGAAGGTGTGGGTGACTCCTGTATATATATTAATGACATAAGTAGAGTACTCGTTTTCAAGCATTTACAAACTAGAAGTAAAAAGAAAAGATAAGAGGTAGTGAAACAAATAAAGAAAAGGGGTATTTGCTTACAAATACAGATCTCCTGTCATTCTGGGCCGGTACAACAGCACTAGAGTGGTTCTGTTGAGGAGAAGGTAAAAATGAGCAGTTGGTAACAAGTAGAGACCAAAGAAAACAGGCTGACAATCAATTAACAAGCAAAGGTGGTGAAACACTTCGGAAAAAAAAGCAAGATATCTAGCAATTTCACAGAGTGCAGAACTTCCGCACATGTATATTTCAAAAGGTGTAGCAGAGAATAGTCAAAGATTACATACTTCACCAAGTATCTGTCCGATTCTCTCTGTGGGTGTACTTAACGTCTTTTGCCTCAAGACATGGTTCTCTTTTTCCACGTGAGAGAGTTTCTCCTCAAGACTGAATGAAAACAACCGAAAGAAAAAACAAACATACTTGTTAGACAAAAACCTAGGGATGACTTGAGAAAGAGAACTGCCGCTACAAACCTTTGAACACTCGTCTGGAGTTCAGAACATCTTTTTTCAGCTTCCTTCAACTTCTGTAGTGTGGTATTGCAATCGGTTTTAGCATTGAGAAGCTCCTTCTCCAGAGCCAAATTCTTCTTTTCCAAGGAGTTCATCGAATTCTGTGATTAAAAAAGAGTTAGCAGAAACCCATGAACAACCAAGACAACAGAATTTGAGTCTCTAAGCAAAGAGCATTTCTCAGAATCGCTTACTACCCTTTCGCAAAGGCGAATAATATATATCAATTTTCACACTCTCCCAACCTTGGATCAAGTTAATATAGTCCATAACCAATTTCTTCTATAACCAGAAATAAGAGGTCTATGTACTTCAAATCGCAACCATTACTTTTCAAGCACAAACTGAATGTTATGGAAGAGCATAAAATCATGACCAACAAGTAGATTAATTGAATTATAAAACCGGTTGACCCAGGGGGAGAAACTCAAAGTCTTTATGACCAAAAAAGCTGAGTTG